AAAAGATGCATTTTTAATCCTTATGGGTAAAAGCCAATAGCTGAAGAAAATAAGGTTGTTCCAGTATGAAATTTGGGAAAGTGTGTGGGAACCATGATTTTAGGGCCATATTGCATTGGGAACCATAAACCAAAAATTGAGCAAAGCACTGCCAGATTTTCCTAATATAATCTTAGAGAATTCCATTAGCATTTGCCAGGTGGCAGAACATAATGAAACTAGAACACAAGTTTTAAGGGAAAACAAGAAAGGACCAAATGGAGCAAAGCAGAAAAACCTTAAATTCATATGAACATTTTGAAACAGGGGAAATTTCAGTGGCTTGCAAGCAATGGTATTGAGGATGCGAGAGCAAACAGAAGTCTAGGCACTGTTGCACTGATGAAGATTTCTTACTGCTGGTAACTGTTCTAAAGGCTTTTCTGCCCAGAACCTGGATTATTATTTTGTAAGCAGGACCCTCAACCACACGCAGATGTCATACTTAAATTTACAACAAGGGATTTCAGAGAAACCTGGTCGTGTAAGAAGTGGGCTGGTATGGCTGATAGGCTAATTCTTTCAGTAGCAAAAGTATATAAACATTATTAAAAAGCGGCGTGTGTAATTGTATCCAAAACAGGGCTGAACAAAAGGGGTGGCATTCAGCTAATTTACGCAGTAAACATCTCAGTGGGAGCCAGTCATTAGAGCCTTTCCATACAGTTACAGAGAAGAAAATGTCTCTGGAGGTGCTTCTGACCAGCTTGAGCTGTCTACTTTACAACACCATGAACTGTACACTAGGAGCGTGTGTTCCCCTCTGTTAGCTGTAAGACTACTTGAGACTTAACATTTTGGCACACAGGACAAAAAATTGCCAAAATCATGCAGATACAAATATGGTTTTGCCTGCCTATGATGTATCTGGTCCTCATGACAGCTTCAAAAGGACTGCTATGTTTTGGAATAAATAATAGGCAAATTAATATGTGATCTGCTCCTAAAATTTTCAAGCAAGAGACGGTGGACAGGATAAATTATGAGCACCTATATATGGAAAAAACATAAAAGTCTTCAGCTAGATCTGCATTATATTAGCTTGAAATGAAAGCAGATTAAGAAGAAAAACTCAAAGAATGTGAAATTTGAAAAGAAATAAAAAATTATCAAACAAAACAGTCTGCGGTGTTCATCCAAGAAACATTAGATTCACAGTCTAGCATAGGGAGGTGGTGGAGTCACCATCCCTGGAGGTGTTTAAAAGACAAGTAGTTGTAGTGCTTAGGGACATGGACTAGTGGTGGACTTAGGACTGATTCAGTGGTTGGACTTGATGATCTTAAAAGTCTTTTCCAACTAAAACCATTCTATGTTTCTATAGTAATAAATTACTTCTTTCCTGTAAAAAATGTGTTGGTTTTGGATCACTGTCTTTAATACACCAAAATAGCATGCTTAGAAAATACGAGTGTTAAACATGTGATTTCCAATAACAAGAACATTTATTTACTAGAGTAGTATATTGGTTGTGCCAGTGACAAAAGAGTACTGACATTTGGTGGACTGGAACTTACATATACAACAAACAAGTAGGGCTTTTAGGCATAATACTGCAAATAGGCACAATGTATTGGGCTATGAAAAATGATGAAAATTATAGCAAAGATTATTCTGAAAACTGAAGAACTGGATTCAGATCCTCATTTGGCATATTTGATTTATAGCCTTGAAGTCTGGACTGCCACCTACTGAAATACTGCTCAGTAGGAAGCTTAGGCTTAACAGGACTCAATTTTCATTACCGAACCTTGGCTTTTACCCTATTTCTTTTTTCTAACCCTTGGTGCTTTATGTCCCATGCATAGTATCATTATAACTGTGAGTAAATAAGAGACTTTCTTTCAGACCTGGTTCTCCAGGTCAGTGTTAGTCTCTCCTTATCTCCTGTGATTACAGCAGTTCCTTTCAATTTGCCTGTTACAAATTTACAGTCAGGCTGAACCACCACTGCCTCTAAAAGATTAAATTGAACAATGTAGACTCAACTATGGAAACAGGACAACATAGCAATATGACTTAACAATTATCAAGCAAGAGTCTCTGTGTTTGCAATGCCACAATATGGGCATAACAGCAAGGTGAAGATGTACCTCATTATCATCATTGCTGAGGGAGAGGGATTGATGAAAACACTACGACACTTGAACAGCATCTTCCATGGAAAGGAGACACAAGAAGACTTGCAGGCTTTGTAAATATGAAGGACTGAAACTGAAGAAGCTGCAGGGAAGTCAGTGGGTTGCATCGCATCAATGGTGAATGAAATTCATTAAGTGCTCTGAGCGCAGTCCTCATTGCAGGTGCTAAGGAAGGATACCTGATGTGTGGTTTGATTAATTTGCAAAGGGTTTATCCTTCAGAGACAGTGCAGCTGGGGGTTAGACCACATTCCCTGCTCAGATTTGCCCTCAGAATTATTCACGGTGACTTTTGATCTACAGTCTCACCCTATTTTTACATTTTTCTTTTTTTTTTTTCTTGCATGATCTGTTGTCTTCACAGGTGAGGTCTCACTTTGAGCAGTGGGTCTTGCACCATGGGCTGCAATTTGTCTTTGTTAGTGACCAAGGAAAAGCCTTTTCACTGCAGTGAGACTCCTTTTCTTGCGTATCAGATACATGCGGACAATCGCCTGAACATCACCTGCACTGAGTTTGTTTAATGGGGAGGGAAAAGAGGAGCAAGCCATATCCCCTTTCTCCATGGAGTAGTGATACCCTCTAGTGGTAAAACCGCAGGCAGTTTTAGGCAAAAGATGATTTCACTATCATCTTTCCTCTTCGTCTCGGACAAAAATCTGCACATCATCTTTAATTGACAGTGCTATTCTGTTGAATGAAGTCGTAAATTCACGCCTTTGGTTTAAGTAGCTGATGATGTAATTTCCTTGAACTGTTTTCAGTGTGTTTCGCCTTTCGTTAAATCATTTAAATGATACTTGTGAGCTGATGGGTGACCGAATTTTCACATTGTATAAAGAAATGGCTGTAATGGAAAGCATCAAGTAGCAGCAGATCAAGGCTTTAAATGGAGAATTAGTAATGGTAAGGCTAATGGATGTCATGTGGCAGATCATAGATGGTTTATAGCTAATCAAAGGAGTCATGTTGTCTTGGTTGAGTTCACACCAGTTTGCTCACAGAGTTGCAGGGTAGCTGGACCATGGGTTTTGGGAAAGCAGTAAGCCTTCACAATTGCAAGGTGGGGACAGCAAAGTATGGTGTGACAGGACAAGCTTGAGGGCAATGCAGGAACACTGCAGAATTCGTAAGTTAAATGCTGAACGTCTTGAGCAGCAGGGGTGTAGTTAAAATAGGTGGATGGTAAAAGACACATTCTGGACCCAAAGGCTGTTTCCTACCAACACATAACCCTTGCTCTAAAGCATGGCTGGTGAGTGGGAGAAGGTGAAACTTGTCAAGGAATTATAGATTTAGCATGAACAAAACCACGTTTATTTCTGTTCTAACCTTGCTCCAAATGGCTGATCTGAAAAGTTCCTGGCATAGGAAACTTCAGTCTGAACAGCCTATGTTAGGAAAGCCACAGCAAAGAAGTCTTCAGGGTTTGCGGTGAAGTGTTCCACTGTCACCTGTGCATTTCATGGAGGTTGCCAGTTGATGCTTTTTGGAGGAAATTCATTCCCAAAGAGCAGCAGAAGCTATCTGGGGCTCACTTCTCTCCTTCTACTCCAGCTGCAGAACCGTTGCAAATTCTTAGCCCTAATTTTCCACGTACAGGAAGGAAACAAAATCCCAAGACAGGTTAAAGGACACATCTCTGACCTGAGCCTCCCTTCCCCGGGGTCCTTGCTCTCTGCCTCCACACTGCAGGCTGTGGGCTCTGCTCATTTCACCCACTGAAACAAAGTGGAGTTTCATTCAGCAAGAGATGAAATCACACCTTAGGTGTCAGGTTGAAATTCAAAACAGGTAGTGCACATTAAACACAGTTTGAGTCTTAAGAAGCTTTTTTCCCTGGGTGATTTCAGTACCTAATGCCTATCATTTCTTTGATGGACCCTAGCTATGAAAGTGAGGGATCCAGAGGTTTTATGGAGACGTCCTTCCAGTTTATTCACTAAGCTCTGAAATACTGCCCCTCTGTTCCTGTGGATCAGCTTTTGGGAGCACGTTACAATGCCCATGATCTGGGTACATGAAGTACTAAAATATGAGCTTCTTCCACTCTGCTTCACAGTGATCACTTATGAGACTCCCTTGATTTTTCTTACTTCTTTATGTATAAAAGATTTTGAATAGCCTGAACCTGGGAATAGTTTTACAAAGCAGATCAGTGTGACTTTAGATTGGACTGGATTGGATTTACCAGCAGTGGGAGTTAAATTTTCTGTCAAGTCTCTGTGTTCTGGAGCCTCAGAGGCAGGTAATAACACAGGGGCAGTGATTTATCACACACTGCGTTTATTGGAGAGCAGAACTTTACCCTTTCTATTGCTTCTCTTTCAAACCTTTTTATCTTTTCATCTGCATAGAAATGAGTGCAAAAAGGGAAAGATAAAACAATGCAGTTTTCAAGGGAGGGTTTGTCCTGGTGCTGCATTATATTGAAGCATTCAGTTTCTCAGATCTCAGGATACGCCAAGTAGATTTATACCACTGTAACTGCAGTGCCATTTTGTGAACCGTACAGCACACCAGCTTGGAATAGACCTCCTGAGCATTACAGTCTTCTGCCCTATCATACAATCCCTTCCCAAAATGCAGTATCATCCATTTCCTTCCTGAAGAATGCTGTCAGGTTAATTAATGCATGTCTGTCCCAGAACCACTCTGATTTAGGATCTTGCAATGATTTATTGATTGCCAGCCCGTCCCCTGTCAAAGTTGAGAACCCTTGATCTTCACGAGAGCCCACGTCACTGCTCACCTCCCCGAAGGTCTCCACCCACATTTTTATAGACAGTATCTTCAGTGCAAATGCAGAGAGGGATAACAATGCTGTGGTTTTTCCTTTTATTTCATTCCAGGTTTCTAATTGTCTTGGGGTGTTTGATCTTAGCTGTCCTGACAACTTTCAAGGAATATGAAACTGTTTCAGGAGACTGGCTCCTCTTGCTGGTAAGTAGACTGGCTGCTGCATCACCCTGGTAATGTCCTTGAATTGAAATCAGCCCCATCAGCAGAGATGGAAACTTACTGCCAGCTCCGCAAGCAAGAAGGTTACTTCTGTTGATCCTGGAGCAGTCACCGTACACTTACATATTGGAGAGTTCCCGGTCCATTGTCAACACTGACTGAATAAAAGCAAGTAAGGAGAGAGGAAAAGTGCTATCCTGAACCTTTTAAATAATGGTTTTTCAGCATTTACCTAACAGCTCTCCCATTGAAGTATCACTACATTTCCTAGCTTGGGTAAGGTCTGCTGGCTTTTGCCCCTCCTAGCTTCTGCACATGGCTCAGCCTTCTAAAGGCCTTGATCACTGTGGCAACCTGCATACCAGGGCTGGCCAAAAACTAAACCAAAGTGTCTTACCAACTTATCACCCACTGTAGTCTTCTCAAAAATGCAACTTTCCTGAATAGAAAACTGTTTCTATGACTCTATCCCACTGAAACCAGGACAAGAATGCCACCTCTCACTTCACCTGGCCTTGTAGAAAAGAATGAAACTACACAGCAAGAGTATTTTGGAGATTGCAATTTCCATTTCCCTTTGTACCCCCAGAGACATGTAGATCTGAGCAAGAACTAAATGCCAAACAGAATGAAAGCTGAAATCCCCTTGCATGTTTCTTCTCAAAAAGTGCCTGAATGGAAACACCCTCATACTCTGGGGAATGTGAAACTAACTTTTGGCCCCTGTTACCCTGCTTAGACCCATCTTTTCGCATTTGAAGAAGCCTGAGGTTATTTTTCCTTCTTACATTTATGTTGCTCTCAGCAGTTTTCAGAAGTACCTAGCAGCTGTGGGTATGGGCATCAGGAAAAATCCCCCTTTCCCTCCCTGCCAGCTATTCACAAACAGGAAAAGTAATTGCGTGCCCCATGCTGCCCTTGGCCCGTCTCCACTGAACACCTTGGAAAAGCTTTCTCCTCACCATTCCCTCCCCATGATTAGAAAAGCTCTTAAGCACAGTGGAGTATCCCATTCTTCTGTGCAGTAGAAATTTAAGGGGATAATATATGCCTTAAATTTATCTTATATATGCTTTTATCATTGCCTTAAATATGACCACATAAATATACTGTACCCTGTCCCTGTCTCTCTAGATATGGCTGCTTGAATGAGCTGCTGGTGGGTAACCCAGGGTGTGGGCATACAGAATGCACTGGGGACTTTGCAGTCACCACTCACATGTCTTTCATTTCCTGTGAAACAAGAGGTCTTTTTGTGAAGTAATTGCCCTTCCATCAAGCAGGGTAAGCACTTCGCATTTACCTGACAGCGGAGGCACATCCTTTCTGCGGAGCAGGCTGGAAGACTATGTCCTGCTTGGCCTTGCCTCTTTCATTGATCTATATTCTCCTGTTTACTTTTTTCCTCTCTCTCTCTGGGAAAGAGATGGTACACGTGGGGTAGAGAGAGACAGTGCACACATACCCAAACACTTGTACCTCATCTGTTTTCTTCAGCTATAGCCTTGTGCCCAGAATTACTGCAAAATTTGTTATGAGTCTAATAATGTAGTTTGTGTCTTTGCTACAGGAAACCTTTGCCATTTTCATCTTTGGAGCAGAGTTTGCCTTAAGAATCTGGGCTGCTGGGTGTTGCTGTCGCTACAAAGGATGGAGGGGGAGACTCAAATTTGCCAGGAAGCCTTTGTGCATGCTGGGTAGGCCCATACTCTCTACTACTGTTTTTCTCATTATACCATTTTCCTTCTGAGCCAGTTTGGGGCAATGTCCAAGAACCAGTGAATGGCAGTGCAAAAAGCACTGAAATCAGATCTGCCCTTTGTGCTAAGAGCTGTGTCCTGTTGGAGTAGTTATTTGAAGTACACAGCAATAACGATTTATTCAAGAGACACTTCGGTGGTTGGTCAGTGGGAAAATAAATGGATCTTTCTACCCTTTGAACACATTTTCCTTGTCCTGAGTTCCCACTGCATTTTTCTTAAGCTCATCCTCAAACATACCCTATCTGCCTTCAGTTTCAAGCCACCTCAGATCCCAATGCTATACCATCTTAGCCAGCCCTCTTTCATCTTCAGATGCGTTTTACCTTTGTAATGTTGGTCTGCATTTGCAAACAGGTATCTTTGTCATTTCACCCTTGTTATGGTTCAGGCTTGGAAGGCATTGCCTATAACTGTCCATAAAACTGCTCATTATTCATATTTGAATCCCCTCCCAGAAGTCTATATTATGTCCACAAACCAACCAGCCAACTTTTAGGAGCTCACTGTGCCCTGAGCACCTGTCATGCACATCCACATTCATTCAATGTTTCCAGGACTCCCTCATTTATTTTGATGCTCTTCAGGCCAAGCACTAGTTTTCTGTTCTTTCTTTGTACAGCATATAGCACTCTGGGGAGCCATGGTGCTGCAGTTATATAAATACACTGTACCCTCATCCCTCTCCCTCCTTTTGTTCATCTTGTGGGTCTAAAAGGTAGACAAAATTGGAACAAATTTCCTTTGTGCATCTGTGCCATCTTCTATTCAGTAGTGCTCCTTTGGGTGCTACTGTTGTATAAATACTTCTTGTACTTCTAATAAAATTGTGAAGGCAGTAGAGCACGGTGTGAGCAAGTGGGATTGATAATGTCTCATGCCTTCTCAGTAAGAGTGTTGTCTCACTTCTGAGAATGCATCTTCATTGATATCTGGGTAAAGAACAGAAGAGATCCCACTGGATTTATTAATATAATCTCTTGATTGCCACTGGAACAAGTGTGTTTTGAGAATGATTGAAAGTGAATAAACCTGAAATCCATCTGGTGCCACCATTTTTGGCTGGAAATACTATATGAAAACAATTTAAAGACTTAGTGTCCAAAGAATGTTTGAAGCTCTTTGGTACCACTTCTTTTTTCTTTAGTATGTATATGATCAAAAAGCAAGAGGGGAACAAAGAAAAGAAAGGAAAAAAAAAACCAAACACCAAAAGAAGTGATGGGATTTGCATTTCAAACCACTTCGGTTGATCAGGAAATTGGCCCTGTGAGCGCTTATGAAAAATAGTAGTACTAACTTTGAGAATTTAATGGGATAATTCAACCAAAAGAACAAAATACCAGATGCACTATCAAAACCTGAATTTCTTATCTGCTGCCCTGTTCACTGTGATGTTCCTGTGGGAAAGATGAATTTAAGGGTGTTGTTTTGTCAGCATTCAGATGCCATTTCTGTGCATTTCTGAAGCTAGCTCAGGCAGTGTCTCAAGTCCAATGCATCGATCTGTAAATAGATTATGAGGCTTTCTGGTGAGTTCTGTGCATGATGCTGACTGTGTGGCAGATGCAGATATCTGTTTAATTGGCAACAGAAAGCATTTTCAGGCAGCTTTAAAATTTGCCTAGGGAAATTTGAAACACAACCAGACGAGATTAAGAATCAGGTGATGGGGCCACTTTTGTTGGCAGGCTTTGTTCTTTTTGCCTTGCAGATATCTTTGTGCTGATCGCTTCAGTGCCAGTCGTTGCTGTTGGAAACCAGGGCAATGTTCTGGCCACATCTCTCAGAAGCCTCCGCTTCCTTCAGATCCTACGGATGCTCCGAATGGACAGGCGGGGCGGCACATGGAAACTTCTGGGATCGGCCATTTGTGCACATAGCAAAGTAAGTGAGAAGCTTGCAGGGCTTAGCTGGGGTTTAGGGGAAAGATGTTGAGGAGAAAGAGAGGGGATGCACAGGTACAGCAGTGCCTTGGGATTATGTCTTGTAGTTCAAGGAATTTGTTCCCTCTTTCATTCTCTGGACCAGTTCTACCCCTTGTTTAACCCCTTCTCTACTGAATAGTGGTGCTGGGAAGCGACAAGAGAGAGTGCTCATTCCCACACTCATTGCAATAGTGTGAGTGAGAGCAGGGACATCCCTTTAATGGTGAAGTATGTTGAAAACTTTGACAGAAATGCCTCTCTATTTGCAACATGTTTGTAGTGACTTCGCAGACTTGTCTGATCAACAGATGGAGCAGGACTCCAGAGGGATGGAAAGAGACTGGCTAGCAGAAATGTGGATTCAGAGAGAGCTATTGGTGTTCTTTTTAGAAGCATGGGTTAGGCAATACAAAGATGCACACAGTGTGAACCCAGATAGACAAAATTTCTGAAATCATCTTTGCTCAGTCTAAGTTGGTGCTATAGTCAGACACAACTTATCTCACACCAAACAAACACATTGTGTTCCTGCATTCTCACCAAACATTATTACAAGTTAAAAACTATCTGCATAAAAATCCTCTAGGTGAGATTTCTCATTTGCACAGCCTGCAGAAAAATTATGTATAATCTGTGCTATATACTTATTTTTCTTGTCCATGAATGACATTCCTGACATTTTAAGGGGTTTTGAAAATTAAAATGCCAACTGGAACAGCATAATTAGACTTTGCTTCTTTGTAGTGGCTGATAGGGATACTCAGCCTGCTCCATTTCATATTCCCCCATGTAAACTTGCTACAAAGCAGGTGGCACATAAACACTTATGTCAAAAATGTTTCTTAGCAAACAGAGATCACGGAAGAAGACCATTCTCATGAAATTCTCAATATTTTTTAAAAATGCAGTTCTCAAAAAACAAAAGGAATATTGATTTTTTTTACCCAGTTGCAAAGACCTTCACCAAAAAAAGTTTCTGCTTTGTTTCAGACATTGCTGGAGTTTGCTGCATCTCCCACCGTAATGGGATTTGCCACACACTCCATTGTAGTCACTCTCTCTAAAACAAACTCAGGTTTGTTTTCACACAGACGATTTTCAAGGTCTGTTCTTGTTGCATCAACTCATGGTGAAATCATACCTCAGAACCTGCTTTGATATACCTAGAGAGAAGAAACTGCATCCTGCAGCCTTGGCTCTCTGGAGGTAGGAAGAGGGCAGAGCTGTTGCTTTGACTGACCAAGCCTATGGGCAGCAGAAAGGTCAAGGACAGAGCCCTGCAGCACCCTGTGTCATGTGTGCAGCTGAGTCCTTAGCCCAGCTTTATGCAGTACTACAAGTGCAGATTGCTCCAAGCTGTTCCCAATGAAGATGAAATGTAAGGGCTAATTCTTGACAATCCCTGCATTATTTCCCAGTAAGTGCTGAGGTGGACCTGTCATGGACTGTGAACAAGCCAGCAGAGACAGCTCTGCTGTTATCCTGAGAGCTTCTCTCTTCCCCTGACGTTTACTCTGCCACTGGAGGTATTTGAGACTGCTTTTAACCACTCTGTTGTCCATCTGTTTCTCTTGCAGGAACTCATCACTGCTTGGTACATCGGGTTCCTGACGCTCATCCTGTCCTCCTTTCTTGTTTATCTGGTTGAAAAAGATGTTCCTGAAAAGGATGCTAATGGGGTAGAGATGAAGGAAGAGTTTGAAACCTATGCAGATGCACTGTGGTGGGGATTGGTAAGTGACTCCAAAAATACCTTATCTTATCCTTAAAAACTTTGTATCCAAGAAAAGATAAAATATTGGTGTTAGGGATTACAGAATAAGTCTTGCTAAATTGAGTGATAGGGATGTATAACATTACCCAAGTAGGGTAACCATTTAACAGAACTTACATCCCTCTTAATTTTCAGTCAAAATAAGGCCTTCCTTTCAGAAATCAGTCTGTGCTCCTGGCTTCTGGAAAACCTCTCTTTTAGAGGAGTGTCTCTTTGGGTATAACTGCACTGACAGAGCCTATGCCTATGAGAGACCTAGCTCTCATGACAGCAGTACCCTGCCTGTGAAAGCTATGTCCCTCAGAAAATGACAAAACCAAAGCTGCCCAAACTAGGAGGTGCTTGTTGACTCTCTTGAGGGACAAGAGGCCTTGTAGGGGGATCTAGATTTGCACCCTGGGCATTGATTAATGGGATGAAATTTAACAAGTCCAAAATGTCTTTGGAAAGGATAACTCAACACTTCTCTTGTTATACATGCATTCCCCAAGAATCACTCAGGGAATGCCATTGGTGGTAGAGTACTGAGCAAGAGAGACCTTTAATACGTCTGTTCTTGTCTCTTCTGATGAAGAGGGGAGTTTTGGTTTGTGCCGCTGCTCATTTGATCATATTCATACAACCTGGTAGACAGATTTCATGTTACTTTGCTACCATAGTTAGAGGAGTCTATATCATGCTGTGACTAAAATTCAGCAGTATATTTTTTATTTAATGCAGTTAATACATACATGGCAAGTTCCCTCCCCACCATTACTAACCAGAAGGTCCCAAGTGTTGCATAGAACATGTGGATATTTTCATATCCTTACATATCCAGAACATTTAGGTAGAGTCTCACTGAGACTGAGAAAAGGTACACAGCTGGAAATTAGCAATTGTGCAGGAAAGGAGTAAGTTTTCACAAAGTCATCTCATTTTAAACATACTGAGGCTTCAGGGAGAGGTAGCCCTGACTGATGGTTAAAGCCCTGCAAGCTGTTAACTGGCAAGTCACATTTCAAACTGATGGTGGGCAGGAGGCTCACTCTGAATGCAACATCACCTACAGTGCCCTCTCAGCAAATGCATCCTAGAAACACAGGTGCTTTCAGACTATATCCATTCTCCCTGGGGCAATGCCTCTGGACTATGATGCCATTAATAAAATTGGTTTTATTCCCATTGTCACGATCCTATTGTAGGAAGGTGTGCATGAGCACCCATAGAGCTAAGCGAGTTATGCAGGTTTCATGGTAACATTTAAAGCAGAGCTGTTGACTTTGTTTTTCTTATGGAGAGTTGTGGTTATTCTGCCTACAGATCACCCTCGCTACAATTGGGTATGGCGACAAGACCCCCAAAACATGGGAGGGACGGCTGATTGCAGCTACCTTCTCTCTCATTGGAGTGTCTTTCTTTGCTCTTCCTGCAGTAAGTACCTCCCCTCTCCTCTGTTAGGCACACCTCAGCACTGTGCACTTACAAAAAAGAGGTAAAGTGACCAAAACTGCCAATGGAATCAAAACAGCTTTTTAAGAAGTGATTCAGACACTTGAGCCGGTCTATATTTGTAAATCAAACCTCTTTTTTCCCAACTTTTCATGGAGCCTATTGTGATTAATGTGTCACCCCAGTACTCCTTGAACCACATGTGGGCACTTTATGAGACAGTGCTAGCTGGCACAGGACAAAATTAATCCAGCAAGTTAATAGTCTAGGGAATCACAGGGGAGTGAATATTTAACCTGGTTCTGGTTAGTTTACTGGTATTGACATAGCCACACAAGATGCATTTTTAAAGGCTTTGGGGCTGTTATTTTAATAATTAGGGTTGCCCCATCTTACCCAGATCTAAGCACTCTTAAGCTAGAGATCTACATCTGAATGATCATCACAGGTCATCCTTTATAACCAGTGCAGCTCTGCAAAGCATTTTGTCTCATCTGTTTCCCTTCCTTCCTAAAGGAGTGCTTCCACCATGGAAGTGCTGTTTAAACTCACTAAGATTAAAGGGAATTTAGAGAGCAAGTGACAGCAAAGGCGTTTTTTATCTAGCCAGGTGAATCCTACTCTGCCTGCCTAAGAAATTATCTCTAAATTGCTTTTGAAAATATATTTGTTCCCTGGTGTTACGTGGGCCAAATATTTGCTTGTCTGCAAAGTCCTCAGGTAAGAATGAGACAAGAGCTGGGTGAGATGGGCCAAATAGCAACAGAAACCATCCCAAGTCCAGATTTTAGAATATTTTTCCTTTAGATTGAGACTTGGAAAGAATTTCACAGAGGTTGGGAAGTCCCATGCACCCAAATCCAAAGTGTGGTGTTTGATCACACAAGCACAGTTTCACTCTACCCTGAATGGAAAGTAAAACACCACCTGGATACCTCCAGCTTGGAAAGGCAGTAGACAGTCAAGAAGCCTGCTGAGGACCTTAAAATGATTTGGTGTGTCCTGTGGCCCTTGAGGTGATCATGACAACCTCATGTCTCATGAGCAGAGCAGTGGGAAAGGCATGCTTTACGAAAGGAAGTTCTCATGTAGCCCTGTCCATCTCCACCTATAGACCTGTTTCCTCTCATTGTGAAACCATTTTTTTCTAAGTAAGAAATGTCTAAAATCTTGCATCACTTTATGCTTTCAGGGCATTTTGGGTTCAGGGCTGGCACTGAAGGTCCAGGAGCAACATCGTCAAAAACATTTTGAGAAAAGAAGAAAGCCAGCAGCTGAACTCATTCAGGTTTGCAGCCATTTATCCCCTCCTTGAAAAAGTGGTGTGTATGAAGACTGCTGCGTCATGTTTACAAGGGCCACCACTTCCCCCCACCGCCCTGCCCAAATTCATGTTTCCCAGTGCAGGAGGTGAGAAGGTGTTTGTGAAGGAGTCAGGTTTTTTCACATTGAGCTAGTTAATCCAGTGGTCTGTACAGCTTTTGAGGAATCTTTCAGATCCCAGAATATCATTCAGAGGAACAGTGTCTTTAGGAGAAGGGGTCTCATCTGCTAGCTTCTGGAAACCAACCGACTTCCACATCAGTGCCACAAAATCACAGAAATCAAGCTGTCAAAAACATATTCTTTCCAAAATCCAGGTTTTGTCAGTTCCTTTGAAAGAGTGCTTTTATGTTGTTATTTATGTGAAAACAGCAACAGAAGTAACACAATAGAGAGCAACTGTTTCCATCAAGGCAAATGATGCAAATAGTATGTGAGGTTTGTAAAAGCTGAAACACATCCTGGATCTTCTGTTATGTTTCTGGATCAGAGGATGCAATGGGAAGAAACTCCTTAGCTCTCTTGGACTTCATGTATGGCCTTTGTTATGAATTCAGAAAGTTAATCTTAAAATTACTAGTCTAGGCGCTGACAAATCTGTCTGGAGTTACTCTCATTAGGTGTGGAGCACAACCTGATGGCAGTGAAGTAAATGGCAGCATTTCCACAGAGGAACAGAGAAGGTTTCTGGGATAGCAGATGGAAGCGTTGGTGCTCAGTACTGCTCAGGATCAAACCAGTTCTCAGGAGAAATGGGCTGAGTGTCATATTATGCTGTTCTCATTAAAAAAGCTCCTTAGCAAACAGACGTGACTGCAGGGATGAGTGGTGAATTGGATTCACCTTTTAAATTAAAGCATCTTCACTTAGTAGCTAGCTAATTTAGCTACAGTATTTTTTAGGTATGTGCTTAGAGAATTTTGATTGGAGCTAAATGCTGAAATAGAAAATTGCTCAGCAAAATTTCCTCTGATGATACATTAGAGAATAAACTGTTATAGCTTAAGCACTTCCAGAAAGACTGGATAAGTCCAGCAGTGCTTCAAGCTCTTTTAGACATACCAGACAGGAGAAGAAAACCAGTTTAGTCAAATCTAGTATTTTGTTGATGTTGCTGGTTCTCTCTCACATCCTGTCTTCTTTAATAGCCCTCCCAGTTCAGAATCCAGTGTCAATGATTTCACCATATAGTGACACTTATTTGGTATGGCTGATTAGTAAATAATTTCCAGATAGTCACTCAGGTGCATCGTTATGTTCTTTGAAACAATCTGGCTGCTGTCAGCCTGGGGAATAGCTTTACCTAACAGTAATATTTCCTTTCCCTTTTAATTTAGGCTGCCTGGAGATACTATGCTACTAACCCCAATAGGATTGATCTAGTTGCAACTTGGAGGTTTTATGAATCAATTGTATCATTTCCATTTTTCAGGTAAGTGCATTGTCCACCTCCCCATCCTAATTTTCTGTGAATTATAAGTCAGGATAGGATACATAGACTTCATATATATCAAAAAGGCTTTTGTAGATAACAGAGAATTGCCAGTTAGCTTCCTGGCTGAGGATGAAAAAACGTTCTTTTTGGCTTTTGGCTCCATTTATTCTCCCTCCCCCTGCTGTGATACATTAGAGTCACATGGATACCTCCACCTTTGTAAAATGCTGGAGTTTATTGCCCCGGAAATCTCAATTTCTCCCTCTGTAATTTTAACCCTGATGAAGTTTTAGCCCTGGATTTCACAGACACCTGCACTTCTCACACCCTCTATGATGTGCTTGTGTATTTTAAGATATGGGAGACACTGAATATTCTTACTTTTATCTCTTTAACTCAACTGGCCTGAGAATTGTGTTGTTCACAGAGGTGTCCATGGCATGTGAACATAATTAATGCTTGTTAAATGCTTGTCTTTTGGCAATATCAATTGCTCAAGGGAATAATTCAGTGGAGGACAGCCAATGCATGTTTAAAACCATCTCCCACTGAAACTATTAACTGAAGGTTCACAAGAAAACTTTTCCAGGGAGTTGAGATCATGATTTTATTTTAATCACCACTTCTGAGTTCAGTGGAAATCATTCCATATATAAAGACAATAAAACTTAATGGACATTCATATGTTTATGGATATGAGTCTCTCTCTCTGATCCTCGTTTTTCTTGCCTGACAAACAGGCACCTACCTCACCTTCAGTTCTTAACATTTTAAAATATTGGCCCTATGAGAGTCAAGCCTTTTAGCAGTAGACTATCAGCTGTTTATAATGGGCACTACTTATCCAAGTTTATGCTTCAAACTTTCATTCTGGACTTGGTGTTATGACTTATTCTGAAAGAAGTGCCCTTAAACTACTGCTCAGCTCAAACAGAGGTCTCCACCTATAAGTTGTGCTCACTGCACTAATACTGCAGCTCCAGCTGTTGCTCAAAACTGACTTGAAGAAACATTTCAGGCTCCTGCCTTCATGAAGGGCGAATTGCAAATGCTAACTCTTTCTTTGTCTTATTCAAAACATATTTCTTTATGATTGATTTAACATACATCAAAAAGGAAATACCTAAGAAAAAAGCCCAAGTTTTTAATTAAGGTTCATATTTCTTTCCTTTTCTTTATTCCTTCTCATCTTCTTGTTCTCTGTAAATTCCCATATTATCCATTACAGAGTCATTTCTAGAGGTTTCTTGACCTCAGGTTTTGTTCAGAGAGTAATTCTCATGCTCTCCTTGAGTCTAGACTCATTACTGTGGCTTCAGGCTTGTTCATTGTGTGTAGGTTCTTCTGTGATTCAAATGTGACCTGAAATGTAGTAGGTGCTTTGCAAATAAGGTCCGGGGAGAGAGGGGAAGGGAGTTCACTTCATACCAAAGACTGGATTGCCAGTTTCAGCAGCACAGATTGGTTTTAGTAACCTTATCACTTTCTTTGCTTTATGGCTGCTTGAAAATGTAGCTTCTATTCTGCTGTCACTTATGGCCATAGAACAAAAGAGATATAAACCACTAACAATAGATTAGGAATTTATCTTTGAAAAAATCTCCTGAATTTATGATATAACTCTTCTCTCCTTGCTTTCTTGCAATGCTTCCTCTCTTCTATAAAAGGAAAGAGCAATTGGATGGTACTGCCAGGTATGTAGCTGCCACTATTATGGCCTTATTTTAATACAGTTATTGGAGGATGCCAGTTAAGTGGTTCTTTGTGGATTCGTGAGCTATTAACCAAAACATGCTACTAACACCACAGGTAGTCATTAAAAATGATTAACCAATCCATTTCCTAATTGCTTGCTTCTTCACCAATTTAACAGCTAAAATGCTAATTGTACAAATGCAATGTTGCTTGTTGATTGTCTGTAAACAGCTTTATTTTTCATTATGATTAATCATGGTCTAGTTTTCTCCTGATCCATCCATAATGTCAGGGTTTAGCATCCAGGTTGTTTTGTGTTGAATTTAAAATTCTGTTTCATGTTACTGTGTAACAGTCCTGCACAGAGCAATGTTGCGGTGTAAGCGATCAAGTCTGTAGTCCCACTTCTGATGAAACAGATGGGAAGGCTCACAGTCACTTTGGGGAATTTATGTGAAAAGAGAATGAGATGCTAACACTGGTCAGTCACTGAAAACTAGAGCAAAGCAGTAGTTGTCAGTCAACCTGCAAGGTCTCAAATGGAAATTATGTATTTATAACCCCCTGTAGCCAAGTTGCAGATTCAAAAGCGTGTGAAATAATTCAGCCTTCTAGGTTGAAAATGTGAAATACTTAATGCTGAACTGTTATCAATGGATTACCCATAACAAAAGTCAGTAGCAATTAAAGGATAAGTAGTTTCACAGACTGGTACTGAAGCTATTTCTATTTGCATCCCCATTTACAGTGCAGAGAAAAAGAGCAAAAATTGTAACAAAATTTGAAAACTGTTAGTCAGAGGACAGGCCTGGGTTCCAGTCCCTGACCTGGCAAAAAGTTCTTTTTTCTTTTTGTTTTTTAAACATTTCATGCAACACATGACAGCTTCAATAAAGGAAGCTGAAAAAAAACAGATTCATGCCTGCTGTTCTATGATTTTTTGGGGGTTCAACCTTCTTTAACAGAAAAGAGAAACCTGCCCTAAGTTTTCTTATGACACAGGCAAGTGTGGTAGTGCTGAATTATTGGGAAAAGATGACTTCCCCCTTCTGCTAGCATCACCATGAGCTATCCTGCTCCTCTTCAGACTGCCTGGATGGGAGTTACCCAGTTTGTGAACCTTAAGTACCCTTAAGTACTGTACATTCATGGCAGTGCCCAGGCTAAGCGGTCTTGACCAAGCTCAGTTGCATTAGTGTAGATGTCTGGAGATTTTAGCCAGGGTTGCTAACAGCTGAATTGTGGCCTTTAATATGTAGGAGATATCTGAGCTGAAATCCTTTTGAGTATGTAACTCCTTACCTTCAGCCAAAATGTGTTCTGACTCAGATACAGCAGCAGATTAAAATTAGACAAGTGAATGATTGCTGCGGTTTGCTGTCGGTCACAGTCCCCCTAGAGAAGCTCCTGCACCTGCAGTGACAGAACAGTTACTGAGTTACTGTGTCTTTCAGGCCAGTAGAAGAAGTCATTTTACGTTGACACACTGTATTAAAAACTGAAAAGTATGACTCACAGCTCAAAGTCTTTAAAACTGTAATCCCAAGGCTCCTCGTTCTAGCTGGATATATCTTGCTTTTATGTTGTTACATATGTAATAACCTTCAGCAAACTCATCGGTAAATGTGCATTGGAGGCTTCCCGTTAGAAGGAATGTGTTTATGGAAATAAGTGTTCAATAAGAGGGATTGGAAACCCTCCAGATAAACAGAAAAATGATGATACTTGTGGGAGCATCCACAGACTTCATAGACATAGGACTGAGCCATAAAGTCTGCTTGTTTTGACAGTCCCACCTCCCATCTCTCATAAAGCTCTTACTTACAGACCAGATAATTAAAAAAAAAATCCTCTTCCTCCTACAGTGATTTAGTATAGAAAGTATTACTTGTACATCACTGCATTAAGGCTGTATTGAAATAAATAAGCAATAAGGGATTGCAGTCGTCGTGGAGAGGACAACCCATATGTGCAATCTCCAGGTTCTCACATCACTTAAGTACTTAATGGCAAAAATGCAGAAATAAACTGCATTGTCTGAACAGCGGTTGATAAAGGGGAGAGAAGAATTGGGCCAAAGTTTTCCCAGAAGAGTCGGGAAATTAAACGAGTTAATAAACTAAAAAAGAGGCCTGGCTGTGTGAGAATTTGAGGATGGGTAGTTCTTTAAGTGGCAGGGTTTCTATTCTGTGATGCACAAGCTCTTTAGGAACTCCATAGCGGTAGGGTAAAACTCTGTGACAGATCCTTCTAGGATCTCTCCTTGGAAGCAGGAGCTGGCATCATGATAAAGTCACAGCTAGATGCAGGTCCTTGTTCTTAGATGATTTGGGAAAAACACAGGGGACTCAACAGAGTGGAGGAGTCCATTTCAGAAGTTGGATGTCAAGAGAAGGCTGCAGGGAAGGACCTGTGATAGTAGAAAGCCGATTAAAGTTTGGCAGCAGCCCTAGGCTTTATTGAAGCTCCCTTTAAACTAAAACTGTGAAGATGTGAGATATGATGAGGAGTAAATTTGACTACCCTTGAGCTAGACAGTAGATGAAGTCCTGCAAGCAGTGAAGTGGTACATATGATGCTGTTTTGTTAATAGTATTTTTTCTACATGCCCTGTATAGTCCCCAAACCAGGAGGAACTGGTGCTGTGCTATTCATTGCTCACTGGTGAGGATTTTACCGACACCATGCCAGAGGTGCCACCAGTTTTTCTTCCTTTATCAATGTGTAAACCTACCAGCCCATGAAATCATCTACATGTATTGCAAAGCCTTTTCATGTGTTTAGCTCCCAAGAAGGAAGATTTATGAGAAGTATATATTAGTGCTCATTTCTGCTGGAGTGCAGCAAATCATGCTATGATTTGCTATATCAGGACTATGGAGGAGTTTGCCTCGGTTGA